CATGGAGCACTGGGTGTTATGCACAAACAATGAATCATGGAACACTTCATCTAAAACTAATGATGTAATGTATGGGGATTAACATAAGAATAAAAAAAATTAAAAAAAAAAGATAAAACAAAACAAAAAAAATATTAACTATATCCCTTACGCTATTTCTCTGACTTTTCATCTGTGACTTATTTACAGAGGGCCAACAGGCACATGAAAAGGTGCTCAACATCACTCATCATCAGAGAAATGCACACCAAAATCACAATGAGATATCACCTCACACCTGTCAGAATAAAAAAAACACATTTCTGTAAGATTTGGAAGACAGAAGGAAGAGAGCTATTCCTTTTCATCAGAGGAAGTATTCCACATTCTACCACCTTGTACCAGCTTCACAGGTGTAGGAAGCTGGAAGCTCAGCAATGATTTCCTCAAGTCTCCTGGGATAGCAACAACAGTGTCCTGACCTTGAGAATAAACGTATGGATGCATGAACTGGAAACCCACCTAGGACACGCAGACATCTGTCCCTTCAGCTTTTCCAGTAATTTTGCAAGCATCTATAATTTACTGTTTTAACTATCTTTATACTTGAAATTAGTTTCTGTGCCAGTTACTGAGTTCACAACTCTCAGCCTCAAGCCTACCCTTCTATATGCAGTTTGGGATCCTAGAGAAGGAACTCTACAAACCATACTCCTGATTTGCCAGAGGGCTCCATGCTAGGCTCTGCCAGTAGGTGGTGCAAGAGGAGAGAGGCTGCCAATCTGGAGATGAACTTGCTCCTTCCTATGTGTCTCCTGTGTGTTTCCTGTCTGCTCGCAATGCCCTTGAGAGTTGCTTCTTCACCCTGACAAGTACAGTTCCTTCCAAGAGCAGAAGATGAATCCAGTTTTCAGATTTCGGCAACACTTAGAAAACTATCTTCATTGTCTTCTACCCCAAAGGAAGAGACGCTAGACCAGCCAGGCATCTCCCCCTCTTCAGAGATCCAAGTATCAGCTTTGAGAGACCCCTCTCTGAAGTTTAAAAGTATTAATAATTCCAATATTTTTCCCTGTGTTTCCTCAGCCCTAGGTGTGGTCGCTGCTTCCTTCAGTTTCCACTACAAGGTACCTTAGGACAGGCGAACTGCTCTAAAAAGGACAAGATAGTAAATACTCTATGATTTGTGTGCCAAAAGTCTCTAAGGTAGTCTCTAACTAATCGACTCTACCACTACAGTATGAAAGCAGCCACGGGCAATGTGGCAATGAATGGGGATGTTAGTGTTCAAGAAAACTTCATTTGCAAAAGGTGTCGGCTCTGACTTTTCCTAAAGGTTGTTACTTGCCCTAGAATTCTCTTTTTATGCTTTTTGTTATCTAATTAAGAACTCCACACTTAATTCACAGTTTTGTTTATTAAAATCACTCTGTTCAACTAACATGCAGGGTATTTATCTCCTGATCAGAACTGACTGTCACTATTTCCTGCACTGAATCTTGACTATTCCTGTATTAGGTATCAGAAGCGGTTCTAAGAAACAGTCCAAAAATGGGAAACTGGGATTAATTATTTCACCTGCTTGGGTTTCAAGGCAGTGATGATGATCTTATCACCAGTGGGCAAAAAAAATGCTAGTTGTCCATGACAAGCAGTACCAAAACATTATTTAAATTATCATCTATGATATTCTTTCTTTGATTTTCCAGCCATCCTCTTGCTTCTTCACTGGAACCCAGAGGTCATATCAACACTCTTCTTTTCTTTTCTCCTGAACCAGCTCTTTCCCTAGAGTTCTCAAAATCAGAGACAACTGGCCAAGCTCTAGGAGCAGCAAAGAAAAATCCAAGTGGTGCAGACCTTTAAACTTGAAATTAGTATTTCTCAAAGATGACCTGACAGAGGCAGAAGTAGATTGATCAAATTCTGCTTCTAGGCATTATAAAGTAACTGAGACACCAGACTTGTAAACAACTAGAAAATTGGGAACAAAATATGAAACACTGGACATTAGGTAACTCAGGACTAGGATCCTTTTAAGAAGTGAAGTGAATGAGATGAGCTTCTACTTATATGTGAGATGAAGTAAGGGAAGCTAGACCCAACGCTTTTAATTCTGGGGCCATTTCCTTTGTTCCTCTCTTGTCTGCTTCACCCTCAGAGCTCTACAACCTGAAAAGCTCAACTTTGGAGTTCCATAGAGATCTACTATATACCTAATTTATTTCCCTAGCACTCTGCTTTTATTCCACACGTACCAAATGAAACATTTTGAGAAAGGAATGCCTTCAACCCAACTAAAGAATGAGGCGGAGGAACAAGGTGAAAGGGGAGGATGGGGAGGGGAAAGAGGAGAAGGACTCTAGTCAGAAATATAGAATGCCCCTTGGAGTATGGATCAAAAAAAAATCCATAGAAATTGCACCTCTGTTCAGCAGATACTAGTATGTAAAAGTCATTATACTAAAAGATGATGTTCAACACTGGTTAGGAAGAAGAATTCTTAACAGGTTGCCAAGGGAAGCCAGGCACATTCTGTGAAACTTGTTTGGCTTCACAAATCATTCCATGATCTAGGTCAACCAAAAGTCCCAACTTGTACTTATGGCCTTAGACTGCTATGTAGAGTCAAAGTCCATCTCTCGATTCCAGAGAACACATGGCATAAAATATAGCCTCACTTCTGAGTTACCACCACATAAGAAGCTTAGTTTAAGATTGTGGATGCCTTGGATCTAGAAGATCATCAGCAAACAAGGGAACTCTTGGCACAGACATTCTGGGCCTGTGCTCAAAGGCTATGTGGATTTGTCCAAGGGTGAAGCTCCCAAGCCATGGAGCAGTATCTTGCCAATGGTGCCTTGGAGGCACACAAACTCACCCCCTGACTCCTGCCTTTGGAGTCCTGAAGAGGTACAGTGTGTGTTGGCCATCATAGTTTTCAGGGCTTCCCTGATCTGCAAGTATAAACGTCTCTGTAGTATATCTCATCCTTTTTACTAACCCTGTCATCTGCTCCTATAAGAGGCTTTAAATATACTGTGTGAAGGGTGGCTTAGGTTCCAAGCAGTAATAAGCCCTTGTTACAAGTCCTGACAAATGGAATCTCATTGCTCAGCTGATATCTTCACATCAAACTACTTCTCAGGTCACTGGTTAACCTCGCATCAGTTCCTACCCATGGTCTCATCAGAGGCTTCAGGCCGAGACTGGGTGGGTACAGGTCTATAAAACGCTCAGAGAACCATGCTGTTCAATCCTCCATGAGCTGGTGGCATTGGAATGTCAAGGGAATTAAGTGCTTATGTAGCCTATTCCTATATAAATTCAAACAACTCCTGTATTATCTTTATGTTAAAGTTCATGCTAGAAAGAAAATCCTACAAGTCTCCTTAGTAACCTACTCTGGAGTGAACCATCACCACTTAGCAAATCAAAATAAGTCCCATTAACATTTAAAATGCACAATTCTAGATAAATAAAGGAAAGTATCATGAAGCAGTGTTCCAAATTTACTATTTTGGTGTTTAAAGATAGGAATTTATGACATCTGTTCATAAATAACAAAATACACAGAATAGTTTTAGAGTTATTTTTTAGGGAAAAAAACCCTCATTATCAGTTATAGTAAAAATAAATAAATGAAGAGTTTAATACAGTAATAACAAATACAACTTTTGAAAAACTACTTACATCCAAAGAATCTTCCTTCAACAGGATAAGGGCCATATTTTGTGATACCAATCGGCAGGAATATCCTAGAGTAGAGGAAAGAGCAACACAAGTGAGTTAACCATTCCTTCCATGAACTCATTGCTTTCCAATAACTATTTAAATTGTCTCCCTTCTTATGTCTTCCGTATTACCTTTTTAAGCCTTTGGGGGAAGACAGAGGAATTGGACAAGCGTGTGGGGTAGGAAAAGTAAGTTCTTTAAGCATATTTTGATTCTTGCAGACAGCCTGAATAGAACTGGTTGGGGAGGTCTTCATAACTAATGGCTAAAATAAATATTGGTCAATTTTCCGTGGATTTTTCTTTATGCTTGTATAACAACAGGATAAGTCTTGGATTATCTTTAAAAAACAGCTAACACTTTAGGAAGACACATGGAATGTGACAGTGCTTCCAAATCAGCATAAACGAGCCTACCCTACTATCAAGATCCCTCATTTGCTTGTTTAAAAAGTAGGTAGTTCTCACAACAGATTTCAAAGGAATACTATCATATGCCGAGAGAATCACTTTTCCTACCCAAGTTCAAAGCAATCCCCATTTCAAGAATTAAACCTGAGTTAAAAAAAAGAAAAATTTGTTTAGAACAAAAGAAATGTCTTCCAAACCGATTCTTATCAATAATTTCCATCACATTTTAAAATAGTTATCGCTATAGACTAAGCAAGATACTCTTCTACTCTCCTCCCAGAAGGTGAACATGTTTTCTCTGAATCACTTTCCTGCTCAGGCTTTGTAGTCCACACCAAAACATCTGGAGATACTCGGTGACACCACAGAGCAGGAGGTGACCTCTCCTCCCCGCTCAAATCCACACACTCTGGGAAAGAGCAGCTCCAGCAAATCCTAAGACCCTGGATGTCTTTCAGGGCTTTCCTTTCAAGCTACCCTCCACCCTCTGAGTGCCCCTTGAGAGAGTTAGCGCTTTCACCAACCACCAATCTCAATCTATCTCATTGAGAAAAGGTAAGAAAAGAATCCTTCCACCTAGAAAGTTGTTTCTTTTTCCTCAGCACCTGAAGATAAAAGATTAATGATCACAGAAACATGAAACAAATCATCAGCATGGAGAATTACAACCTTCAAGCAAGTACCTGGGTGACAATCTCAAGGAAGGGCCTTAACCAATACTGTTCCTAAAACGAGGAAGAGCCTGGATTCTCCTCCACAGAACAGCTAAAATATCCATTCCATTCCAGTAGATGCTACATTTAAGTGGAAAAGGAGACAGGCATTTAACTAATGGGCAAGTCTCAGAACTACTGCATTTACGTGCCGTATCTACTCAGCAGGACTTCTCTCCCCCTACCCCCTCCAACCCCGTGCTGAGGAAACCCTATTAAAAGGCACCAAATAGACTTCAAGACACACAAAAATTAAGACCAAGAAAAACCTCGTTTTGTTGTGTTGTTTAGGAAGGAGAGAGACACTAAATATTTGTTTATTTTGGAATGTACAAAGTATATCCTTCACTAACTATTGTCATTTCAGAATATTTTGTAGATCACCTCAGAACACAAGCCTTCAAGCACAAACTTATGGCTTTTAATCCAAATGTTTTTTAAAGCAATATCATAAAGATATAGTCCAGACAGTTAACAATAGTTACCTCAAGGGAATGTGATTATTTTGCTTGCTAAAACCACTACGTATTATTTTAAAAACGAGAACAAACTGAATAATTTAAAATCATAATACTACATGGGCAAATACCTGTTTAACCTCTAAGACAAAAAACAGAAGTAGGAAACATGAAACAATTTTCTATACATTTTCAAATTTGTTCAAGTCTGTATTTTAACAATAGTGATGAGTAAAAATAAGACTTTCCCAGAATGCCATTCAAAGTTCTGTCTGATAGGATTGACATAATTGAAGTCTTGGTTTGCCATTAAAATTTTACAAATGTATTCTTTTTTCCTATAAATTCTTAGATCAGGTCCAGAAGGGAGGTCTACACTTTATTTTCATTTATAAAAGGAGATGTTGCAACTTTAATTATTTCCCACTATGGGAGGCTTGCTCTTTCTTTATATCCCCAGAGGCTTCCAGCAACTTCATGCAACATAGACTGTTACAAATTTAGTATAACTAATGCAAAAGGATTTGCTGGTAGTTTTTTATTTGAACAACAGCTGCAGAAGCGAGCTATAATTTTTAAGCCCTAGCTTGCTGCTTTATTTTATATTTTTCAGTTTAAGCAAAATGCTGCTTGACAACTGAATCTACACAAAGATATTATGGAAAAACTCTTAAGTATTTTTTTAGCTGTTGCAGGCAGAGGGCAAGAAATAAAACCACGGACACTTCCATGAATTTCAGTATACAAAACTAAAGGTTTCTGGAAATAGGTTTTGTTGTTTGTTTGTTTGTTTGTTTGTTTGTTTGTTTGTTTTAATTTGGAAAATGAAGTGAGGTTCTGCTTAGAGAATTATCACACAGAACACTTGTACTATACAGAACATGGAAGTTTAACACAGTTACTTGTGACTTAGCGAATGTGGCAAATTAAATTATGTCAACCCCAGTTTGGTGTGCTTGATTTCTAATGTTTGTGGATAAAATGAGATCAACTCTTGGAGAAGAGCCAGGTATGAAATGTCAATCCACGCTTGTAAATTGAGGTCTGGTTCTTTAATCTTGCAATCTAACAAAAGGCCCATAAAATCACTGAGAAGGGAACCTCTGGGATTTCACTTTTTACATCTGAAATTAACAGCACACTACAAACGTTTAGCCTTTCTACTACCTGAATATAATCAACATACAAAGAAATCAAAATATTACAGGCTCTATGGTACTTAGAGCAGGACTTCATTTTAAGAAAATAATTATCCATGCTAGAAAGTATCACCAAACCAAATCTCTCAGATCTTGCAATCATTCTCTCTCTCTTTTGAGATAAGCTCACATTGTCAAAGATACCCAAATCCAGATTTCTTTGGAGACATTTCTGGAAGGGTTAGGGACAGTTTATCCTTACTAACCATGTATCTTAGGATCAGATTAATAAAGCTACCCATCACTAGGATTTAGCATGTTTCCAAACCCTCAGTAAGTTTGTTGGTCCTAAATATTTTTCAGAGAGAGTCTGATCAATATGAGTATGAATGTATGAAACACACTGCCAGACATCAGGAATGGATAATGAAAGATGGTATTCTTAGTCTATTCCAGATGGGGTCAAAGTCCTTCATCATCCAGAGAACCAGGAAGCTAAGGACTCATCCACAGAAACACACACCTGGTCACCTTTCCCTCCAGATCCTGCTCAGGAAGGCTCCATCACATGTAAAAGCACATGGCCTCAGCCTTGCCTTACAAACCCCTCCCCTCCCCCAAACTGGGCTGTCCTGATCCATTCTCTGTGCAGAATTTGTTTTAAATTCAATTAGCCAACATACAGTACATCATCAGTTTCAGATGTAGAGTTAAATAATTCATCAGTTGCATATAACACCCAGTGCTCATCACATCACATGCCCTCCTTAATGCCTTTTTTTCTTTTTAAACAAATTCTTAAAGGCTCAAGTTTTAAACGTATATCATCCATGAAGCTTCCCTGGTCTTTTCTAGGAAGTGAATATCAACTGTCACAGGTACATGCTCAGATTTTCGGCACTTTCACAGTCTCTGTGACCTAGGCCGAGTTGCTTGGTATTTCTGTGCCTCTGTTCTATCTTTAAAAAAGGGATGATGGCTATCTGCAAGGAATCAGATATAAAACTGACCACGACAGGATTCAGCACAGTATTTGGCATATTCTAGCTAACATTCACTCAGTAACTATTATTAACACCAGTCATACTTAATATCTCTACTGCACAACTAGTACTTTCTCATCTATGTTACTCTCGGCTTTGTCTCAGAATTAACTCATGCTCCACTTAGGGGATGTAAGTTCCCCCAGCCTAGAGTAGAGCATCTGGCAACAATGTTAGTTGCAGGTAATCAAGAAATAACATGTCTGACTTTTTTGTGAAAAACAACACTCAGATTGAGACCACCACCAATGTCCCAGCTTCACTGAAAACAGAAACTGGTCTTCCTTTCGACAGGCAAGGCAAATTATAGGCAATAATAGGAGGATCAGGCACCATATTCACTCACTTTTAAAGATTAAACTTCTAAAACTCTAAGAAGTGGTTTAAAAGTATTAAATAATGAGTCACAACAACTTAGAAATGGTTTAATGAAAGCTATTGCCCACTTAATGACTTTATTTTTTTTTAAAGATTTTATTTATTTATTTGAGAGAGAGAATGAGAGAGAGAGAGCATGAGAGGGGGGAGGGCCAGAGGGAGAAGCAGACTCCCTGCCGAGCAGGGAGCCCGATGCGGGACTCGATCCTGGGACTCCAGGATCATGACCTGAGCCGAAGGCAGTCGCCCAACCAACTGAGCCACCCAGGCGCCCTCACTTAATGACTTTAAAATGGATTTTGCTCTCACTCATCCTGCATCCATTAGAAAAAAAAATTATAGATTCTGTAGACTTTGTATCTGTTGTCTATCCATTTAATAGATGTCTTACCCAGTAGCAATAAGGAAATGACACAATTCACAAAGGCTATAACTGAAATTTCACTTTAGACTAACGGATGCCAAATCTTTAAGCTAAAAAAGAAAACTGCCAACTCCTTGAAACACAACTAGTTAGCATAAATTCAAGCCCAGCACAGTAGGATTCTGGCATTAGGCCAGTTCCAAACTACCTAAAACCCACAGGCAAGAAGACTGTCTATATAGTACTCATTGGCTCCTGAGAGACACAAATACCCTGGAACTTAATTTGATTAAATGTTTGCAAGGTATGAACTAAAAGTTACATTCTACAAATGCTTCTTTTTTTTAAGATTTCATTTATTTATTTGTCAGAGAGAGGCAACACAAGCAGGGGGAGTGGGAGAGGGAGAAGCAGACCCCCCGCCGAGCAGGGACCTGATGCGGGGCTCAAGCCCAGGACCCTGGGATTATGACCTGAGCCGAAGGCAGACGCTTAACCAGCTGAGCCACCCAGGAGCCCCTTACAAACACTTCTTAAACTATGACAGAGAAACCCAATGCTGAGGAGAGCCAACAACCCCAAACACCCAACATACCAACTGTTGCCTCTAGAGGTGAACTGTTACCATAAGTATCACTAAGACAATGTGATTAAAGGGTGAGAGTCAATAGTTATAAGACATCCCAATTTCAGGGACGTTGACATAGGACAACAAGGTGCATCCTGGAATGGCTGAAACACAGGACCATTGTCCCCCAGTCTTCCAATTTCAGAGAACAGTTTTATGAAAGCTACATGAATCTGTTTAAAGGGAGCCCCACACCAGAAGTGAAGAGCCCTGGGACCTCACACCAGAGTGGTCATGAAACAGAACATAACTTTTAGAAACACTGAACTTCCCCCCTTGAGTGGTAAGACTGTTGGTATGTAAAGACTGAAGACAGAATTCAGAAGGCACTCAGCAGGCATTCCATTCGTTTGCTCTCCTGTCCTTCCTTCACAGAGAAGTAGAATTGCTAGACACCTGCTCTTCCTCCCAAATATCTTCTGAGTGCCCAAAAATGTACACAGAATGCACTACCATATACAGAATATCCAGTACAATGGAAGATAGATCAATGATGGCTCACATTACCAGGGGGATGAGGAACACAGGATGAGTAAACAGTCATACAATCCATACTGCATCTGGGGCACGACCTCATGCTGCATATAGCTGTCACCTGTGGTCTGGCATGGACAAGTCTGATACAATGTCTGGACGTCTACACTTTGCTGAGCCTTCTGCATCATTTGCAGGCTCGACAGATATCCTAAATCAGAAAATGACATTTAATCCCTCGACACTGCCCAGGATTACCAGTAAGTTTTGAATGCAAAGTGAAAAAGTAATTCAGACAGAGCTCTTTCAAAGAATATCAGCTCCCTGGCTGTTGGCGGCATACTGAAAAACACCAAAGATATGTTTGAATTCTGATACACTAGAAAAAAAATGGGAGTAGAAAAAAGCCTTCAGAAGACAACATTTCGCCAAAGTCATCAGCTTTTATATAAGCAGGAAGCATCAACTCATTGTGGTCTTGCAGAGTAGCTGCTAGGAAAGATCAATTTTAAAATATCTAATGGCTATGAATGCTTCTGGTATCAAAACTACAAATGTTGCTATACTCTCTTTGAAAAAAAGCACAAAGTAATATAACCATTATTTTTACAAACTCTTCAGACAGGCATCAATTATATTGTAAGGCTCAGAGAAGACTCACGGCATTCAAGTCAAGCTTTCCTTTATGAATTATAACCCATTTGTGTTTTCTGGGTTGATTTTCAAGCCTTTGCTTTGTGTTTATTCCAAACTCCTCCAGACCCTGATACGCTCAGATATGGCAAAAGGAACAAGCCGGAAAAGGGATGAGTGTGCTGCCCAAGGGCAGAGTGATCTGGTGGAGAGGCCATGAGAGGGACAGTGGCTTTCTTCCAGCTAGCACAATGCCAGCAAAGTCACACTCGCTTCTTACAGCAAACACAAGAAAGCACTTAAGGAAGTCGTCTGGGGCTAGAAGCATAGAAAGGTCAATAGTCCAGCAGGAACACTCAAGCTCTGTTTTCCAGATCTTATCGTTATCGTGCAATTTTAACTCGAGGGGTTACCCCCTTCTTTGATACTGCTCCAAGAGAGCAGAAAGCGTTCCCTAAATTTCCAGCATTTCAGGGCAGTAGCCCTACATGAACCATAGGCCACATATCAGAAGCAGGTGTTTTAGCCCAGATTTATATGAGAAATCATACCTGAAGGGACAACATATATAAATAGAGAGAGGGACAGTATACCAAAAGCAAGTGTTTACCTTCATTTTACAAAATATTGCTGACATCACCAAAGGGCTACACACTCTGGGTTTTTATTTTCTAGTAGTAGTGAGGGATCCACACAGAAATGTCATCCGACTTTTGTCCAGAAACATGCATTTGAAAGACAACACAAATCCACAAAGTCTGTACCTAAAGCTTCCCAGACTGTTTATGAATCACATGTCACTCACCTGTGACTTTGATTTCATTTGTGTGGGAGTCCAAATTGCAGGTGACTAGCTACAACCTTGCTAAGAAATTATTAAATGACTCTTGTCTATTAAACCAAAAACAACATTCACTTCAGAGAGGAGGTATTTGTCTACTACTGGGGTTATCTGAGACAGGGCTGTTTTGAAAGAGAAGGCTTAAGGAAAGGGGCACCTCTGGATTCAACTGATAATATTCCAAGGAGACTGCTCCAAATAGGGCAACAGTCACTTAAATTTGGAGGTTCTAGTGTGTTCTTCCTAAAGGGAGCTGTGACATGGTCTACTTCCATAAATATATTGTAAGTCATGCAGTCCTTACACACTCATCTGATCACATATGCATCAGGGCTTCTTATGCCATAATGGTGCTAAATGCACCAGGTAACTTGAAAGTTCAATAACCAAAATTAGATCTTTTAAAATTAGTCATTTCAACTCCTTTCAAACTCAAAATGTGCCTCTTTAACATTAACGTAAGTTATCTGGACTTAAAATTCCCTTTCTTCAATTTTCATTTCTGTGATGTTTAGCAAGGAAAGAGGTTACCAACCCAGACAGGGAAGGGAAAGAAAGAGACAACACTCTTAGAAGACCCATCAGTTGGTAAAATCATTCAAGTGGTTATAACTATTTAAAATTATAATGCATATTATAGCTCAGATGGTTAAGCGTCTGCCTTCAGCTCAGGTCATGATCCCAGGACCCCGGGATCGAGCCCCGCGTCAGGCTCCCCACTCAGCGGGAAGCCTGCTTCTCCCTCTCCCTCTGCTGCTCCCCCTGCTTGTGCTCTCTCACTCTCTCTGTCGAATAAATAAATAAGATCTTTAAAAAAAATAAAATAAAATTATGATGCATATTAAACTTAGTGAAAAGATGATCTTAGCCTCAGACTACAATTTTGTGAAGGAAGCAGTAAGAAAAAGTTGTCAAATCTTGAATTCTGTATCCTATATAAGTGTGTTTAATACAATTCAGGAGATATAATAGTTTTAATGTTTATTATAGGCAGATAAAGCTCACAAAAGCATCTTCATTTGATTTAGGTAAACTTTCCTTGGTCTTAAAACATCATCTGTCAATGCATTTGAGGAAGCCTTAGGCACGTCTACAAGATACTTTAAAAACAATACAAAACCAACATCGGGAAATTTTAAAATTAATTACCTATATTAATTGCAGTTTCTTGTTTATCTCCTGTCAACACCCAGATTTTAATTTCTGCCTTCAATAGAGTTGCTATGGTTTCTGGAACGCCTGCCTGAAGGCGATCTTCTATGGCTGTGGCTCCAAGTAACAGTAAATTCTAGATTGAAAAAGAATTTCGATTACAGATTGGTACATACTTAGAGCAGCATCAATGACAAAACTGACCCCAAAAGGCAGTCAAAATGTTCTGACAGTTCTCCTATTTCCTTCACATTAAACCTTCATTTGCAGATAATTAATGATATCTTGACGTGGGGCATTTCGAAACTATCTGCAATGTTAGAACCACTTGAAACACATAGGCAACCCAGCATCCATCATTTATTTCTTGGACCATGGGCACATTAGAATAGAAATCACCTAGCAGTAAAGCATACGGGCAAGTTATCCTGATACGGGCAGATATTCACAGGAGGTGAGCCTTCTCCTCCCACTCCACTGATGAATAACGTACATATTATATTTGGTTAACACAGGATAAAAACTGATTCTTGACGATGCAAGACTTAGAGACAGCTGATGCTAACATTTCAACAGCCAGAGAAGAAAGTATCAAAGTATCTTAAGATTAAGGATTATCAAATGTTGCCTCTGTGAAACTTATTCCAGGCCTACAGAGCCCAGTTCACAGTGAGGATGGGTGTGGATGCATGGGGAGATAAAGACCCATCAGCAGCCCGTACCTTGCCTGCTGGCCTGGCAGATTCCAGAGCCCCAGCACACAGCACCTACCTCCCCTGAGTCCCTCCATAATAGGGCACCATAACTTGATTACCCGACTGTGGGAAAAGAGAACTACCTCTGCTTGCTGCCACATGGGCCCATCACCTATGTAATCATTTTCTGATTCTAAAAGTAATTTTGCTTTTTTCCAGTAAAGCAGAGCAAATGAACACTTGAATTCTGTTTTACTCCTACCAAATTCCACTAAAGTGACAAACAAGTAAATATAAAACTCAAACAAAAATGGAGTATTAAAAAAGCCAAGAGTAATTTTAAAAAACATGAAGAATGAGAAAAGCTAAGGACTTCAGAGTTTCAGAAACTGGAAAATGAATGGGCCAATGGATGCTGACATGAAACAGAAAAAAGTGAGATCTAGCTGCCAGATTTGAGGGAATCCAATACTAGAAATCTACCTAATGCTTTGGGATAAACTGCAAGGACCAGCAACAACAAAAAGTCAAAGTAGGCAATATGGAGTGGCAATGGCAAAGGAAGCTATTACTAGAATAAGTGTGAAAATGCTTAGAATGAGTAATGTCCAACCAGCCCACGCATTCGGAATGCTCCTATAACTCAGTAGGGTGAGCAATCTCATTAAGCCTAATCTTAGGTAAACCCCAAGAGTCATTGACACTGTTTTTGACCTGATACTTCTTAAGATACCATTAACGCTTAGCTAAAGGTGGTTCCACCTTTCAGGTAGCCCATAAAAACTAAGTGTTTCTTAAAGCAAAGGAAGACCTCGTTAAAAGCTAATGGTTAAGATATGTACAGGAAAAGGGAACATGGCTATACAGCAAAACGATTCCTGATCAGAGACTTTGTTCAATACTCGGTGGAGCCCTTCAGTGGGCATGCAACAACTATCTTGCGTGTAATCACCTTCTCTATGATCTCATAGCACTCTTCCAGCCGTTGAGCTCTGTCTTTCAGTATGGTGCTGGCTTCTTGATAGACTTTCAGCCACTCCTCATACTCATGCTCAGAGAGGTCGGCGTAAGCCACACAGAGAGTCCTCAAGCCTGCAAAACAGCCACAGTGTATCCAGCGACGGGAGCAAGCAGGATACCCTCCCTCCTAGGTGACATCATGGGGCTCCATTTTAAACCAGCATGCTCAAAAAAATTAAAGAAACTATCAGCTTTTTAGGTCACTCTAATTCAACTTTCACACATCTAAAAAGGGAACTGAAGAACAACGCTAGTGCATTTTGCTGTAAGGCACCTCGTGTATAAATTTGAGAGTACATGGAAGCCGCAGAGTGAACTCCCCACAGCAGAGAAGTACAGGAACTGGGCATGCCCCTTATGTGCACGTGCAGTGGGCAGGCATCAGCAAATAGAGGCGGCACTGGGTACATTTCAAGACAGCAATAAAAGTCCAACGTGCCATCATGTGGAAGATCCGGGCTTTCTGGCAGACACACGTGTGCATGAACACACACATGCACACACACGCACGTGCGCGTGGCCATAGAAACGCAAGAAGATGAAAACGCAGAGGTCAGCACTTCGGCCAGGCTCCAGCTTCCATCACATTCCCTTGCTGGAAACCCTGACATCAGTGCTATTTGAGGCCTTTCAGAGAACTCCTTTCCTAGTCTCTGTGGGCTCAATGAATTATTGTTTCTTCAAGTGATGGATAAGCCAGTGTCATAAGGATAACAAGAGGAAGACAGGGAAATAACCTCATGAATTTTCTGAGAAGAGCAATAACAACTACAAAAGGATTCTACATGTTGTGAACTGGCCTGACTGTTCCTTCCCTACTCCTGGTGAAGAGTCAGCAGAGTCTCATACTAGCTGAGGGTGGACCCTGACGCACATCTTGTCACTGCCATAGGCACAGAACGTGGAGGGAGGGGGCGGGGGGGGCACGAGAAAAGTGTATCTTGTGAAGCAAGCCAAGCACCGCACAAAACACACATGTCCATCCAGAACACGACTGCTCCCCCCAAGCATCAGCCACAAACACAAGAAAGTACAACTTGGATGGTTAAAAACATTTCCAAATTTCACTTACCTTCTGTGGCAAAATATTCCAGGTGGCACAGTGTTTCCTCCATGTATTTTGAATCTTTTGAGAGTCTCTCAAAAATGACATTATCCTATAAAGTAGAGAAACACTGTGACTGGCAATCCCTTCAGTAAACCTTCCAGTCAGCATTCTAAACCTAGCTCTGTTTTAATGCTTATCCAGCGTGCATGAGAATACTTGAGTGGGCAAGTAGAAATACAGTCTTGGCCAGATTCAGTCATGAGCTTTGGAAAACAAATCAGGTATAGATGTGTCCAAACAAAAACTTTTTGGGGAGAATTTTAAGTGTCAAGAGAGAATTATCAGGGACACAATGGTACCAACATTTACCCAAATTTGCAAAATACATGCCCACGTTTATAACACCTCTATGCAGAAGTGGAAAGAGTAACAGGCACGTCCTAAATTACTCAAATACCCTCTCGTTTCCTGACCCTGCAGGAGCTCCTAGACAGGGAGTGCACAGCCCACTAGACACTGAACCCAGTTCCACTAAGAAACCCTGAGGAACACAACTCAGAAAAGCTCTCTGTGACGACAAACAAACCACAACAACTGAGAATAGCTGCTAGCGAACACACACACACACACACACACAATCTCAGAGTACTTAAAAGATTATCACAGGTCAATATGAATTATTCTATCTTCCCAAAGTCAGAACCCACTGGTGGTGAAATGAGAATCAGAAGTCAAGCTGCAAGGATTTTGCACAACACAGAGAACTGCTGTTTCTGAAACTAACTATTGGCCAAAAGCAAGCTTTTCATGGGCCATCATTGCCATGCTGGCCTGAACCACCGCCATCTTCAGTGGGCTTTTACCAGCAAGTCAATTTTATGGCCAATCTGAAAGAGCCCTTCAACCTTGGGCAAACTCAGGGTAGCCACCAAGGGCTCCCTACTACACAAGATACTTCGCTGGTACTTACAGCCCCCTTACAGTAGAGCCGAAGTTGGCCTGAAGGAGTTCGAACAATTACAGACATTCGTTTTCTGTCACTGTAGGGGTAAGAAAGAAAGAAAAAGTCATCATTGGTCTGTATGATAGGACCCATGCCCTATGGTTAAGCACCCAACAAATCAAAAGATGATCTGAGAGCCCTAAAAATGGCAAAGCTCCATTTTCCTTACCTTTTCCTTCAGAGTTGGACTTTAATTGTATATCCACTACTCTATTTATTTATATATAATGGACATAAATCTATTTTTCCCTGCCATGGAAAGTCACTAGTACAACTACAGCAGGAGAACAGAAATGGAAAATCTGACCATCTATTATGCACATTTAATTTACTTCTGATAATATTCTGTAAAAGTGTTATTTTGCAGCTCAAAATATTAGTCATCTGCCCAGTAAGCAGCAGAGTGGAAGCTTCAATATAAATCCAGTTAGTTCAAAAGCCCCTTGTTGTGTCTTCTGTTAACTGAAGTAGAAAAAAATTAGAAACTCATAGCACAGTCCTGATTCAGCACTGAGGTGTGCCTTATTACTGCCCTCCCCACTCCAACATGGACACTTCTGTACTCTTCTTTCATCGTGACCCACGCTCACTCATGGAGCCTTCAATGGCTCCCCACCGCCTACAGATTCCAGTTCTTGCTGACCTCCACTCACCTCTACAGCCTGGCCTCATCCCCCATGAGCAACTCCCATTCACCTGCAGGCCTCCCCCACACCAGAAGACACACCACGCTCCTTCTCTACACCTTCTGTCCCATGCCTTTTGCAGACATTTCATCCTCCTGAAACATCCCAACCACAGTGGGTCCCAGACCACCCACCCCTGTAAGGAGATTCCCAATGGACTCTTAGCTCCTAAGACTGAGGGATATTCTCTCTCCAGCTTTGTGTAAATTTCCACATCCTAACCCACAGCACTGGGTCTGACCTGGATTTGAATTCTCTCTCAGCTACCTAGTAGCCAGGGACTCTCAGCAAAGTTGTTTACCCAGCATCTCAGTTTCTAAATGTATAAAGCAGGGCTGCCACCAAGTCCTGCAAAGGAGTGTTGTCAGGATTTATGGCATCTGGAAAAAGAGGAGCAACTAAAATGAAATAGAACCACAGCTATAACTACAAACAACCTTTTTACTCGCTCGTATTCTCCCAGAAGTTTTTAATTCATCCTCGTGTCTCTATCCATATTCACCTGTTTTAACCGAATTCCCTTTCCTCCTTCTTGTCCCTGTAATAACTGCTGGTCCCAGTTACCACAGCCACATAACAGCACAGTTTCCAGGACATCCACAAGAGATGGGGCACAAAAGTCCGGAGCAACGTTTAGTGTGTTCCTTATCTCCACACACGGGGACTCTGGCCCCTACTCCCCTATATAAACCACTACTCTTATCAACCATCATTCTTTCCCTCTGAATGCCCATCCCCAAGGGCTCTTGACCCACCAAAGTTCAAGTTTGCAGTCCTAAAACCAAAGACTAGGGCTGGAAAGCATTTTCCACAAGAGGGTTAAAAATTGATATTTTTCAAATAGCTTATAAAGCAGACAGAGAAAATGCGTGAATCATTTAACAAAGGTTATTGAAAAAAACCCCAATTTTACTAATGGGAAAACATGCTTTTGAGGTAGCAACAGAACCTTGCTCTAGTATTGACATCAAGTTCAATGTTAAGAAGGAAGGAAACAAAACATTAAGATTTTTTTTAATGACAAGGGAAGCAAATGATCCAACAAATATTCCTGGGTCTTAAATTAAATAAACCAAGCTGGGGAAGAATGAGCTGGAATATATACAGCAGAACTGCCCGACTCGGACAAAGCCTTTGACGGGATGGACTGATCTTGTCGGCCTCTGCTCATCAGTTTCCCAGGCCTGGCATGAGAGCACTCAGGATGGAGCCTGAGGCTCGGCCTCATGGGACGTGGGAAAAACCAACAGAAATAGGGCCCTCGGCACATACTCCAAACTATGCAGACATGTCTGCAGCTGCTGATGCCAGAATAGCAGGTCTGGAAATCTAAAGAAAGAGGAGGATATGGAAGCATAAGGTTTCATTTGGAAAAAAAAGAAAAATGGCCTACTTCACTTTCTTTAATGAAAGTCACAAATTCCAGAGAGGAGACGGCTTGTGGAGATATATTTACTAAACTTAATACTTAGGTACTGTATTTAATCATATTATACAATCCTGCAAACACTGGGATGACGCTGTTAAATATATATGGAAGTATTTTATTTCAAGTGCATGAAAGAGAAACATACCTAGAAAATTCCAGGACGTTAAGGATTCCAAATGTCTGTTCCTGTCCCATCTAAAGGAAGAAAAGCAGGCTCTTACCTGAGGTGCAAAGTATTAAAATCTCAAAACAACAGTCTCCCCAAACATAAACCTCTCTGTACACACATCTCCCCGTCCCTCCAGCATTTTCTCTCTCTGTATATAATACACATACACATATGTCCCTCTCTCCCTCTCTTTGTAATGCATACACACACGTACACCTATATTCCTTCTCCCACTCTTCCTCCTCTCCACCTCATTCTCTCTTTCTATCCCCCTGCAAAGGCCTTTTCAACAGCTATGGTTTTCCCACAAGCCAGTCCTGTGGGGTCATAGCTCCCCCTTCTGGTAGAAGCTTCTCATTCTTCTCCAGGCTGTCCTAACGGGCTGACAGTCCCTTCCTTCCAAGACTGGAGAACACAGGACACAAGCTACACAGGCCCGCCTGAAACCTTGGGGCAGGTCATGCTTCTGAATTCAGAATTTTACACATTTTATAAAAATGTACACATACAATTATGTGCCATAATTTCCCCAGGGGGGTCTGGGGCAACACCCTGTAATCCAACTCATTAATTTTTTACAGCAAAATGTAGGACTATTTACACCGAGATTCTTAAGACCACAAACCACCGCATGTCAGTTTTGGTTACATTTTGCTGCCATTTGCCTAAGTCCCCAAATATGGGGGAAAAACTTTTAGAATTCAAAGCTTCTTGAATTTTGGATTTGGGATTTAGAAATAAGGATTATGGATCTGTGTAAGATTTTAGGGCAATTAATTAAATGTTATTTTTCTTCAGGTTCTTCAAAGTTGGAACCTCAATATTCTCAATTTTTTCCAGAAGATTCTAGACTATGTGTGTACCATTTTCAAACTCCTTGATCAAACCTGCTATTTCCCCATACATCACAGTGGAAAGAATGTGGGCTTTGGAGTTCCTTGTGATTTTGAATCCTATGTCTGCCACTAAGTGTGTGGCTTCCTTAGGAATGGTGGTAGCACCTGTCCCTTAGGTTTGAGAGAAGTAATGAATGAAGCAACCTGCAAATTACCAAGTGCACGACTGACACACAGTGGCACCGACCCATCATTACTGCCCTGTCCACAAGTCCCCACTCCCCACAAGCCTCCTAGCATCCTGAAATACAATCAGGGACCTACCTCATCCAGCTGTCATCGACCTTTATTCCCCTCTTTCTGCAACTACCAGCTCCTTCTCCTCAGCTTGTCCCAACTTGGTCAGATGTCCATTCAGAAATATGCCCACTGGTACCCCACAAATTGGCACGAGCGCTGTGACTGCCAGAAGCCCACCACTTTGCTATCCCATCAACCGCCGTGCAACCATGTGCAGCCCACAGATTCGGCCGTTAAGATGACCGTGGGGCCACATCACGTAAATAGCTGGTAACCAACTCGAGAACGCGTGGTTTGAGGATACTCTGGTATTTATGGTTAAATAGGATTTTAAAGTTATTATTATGAACCTTAACTAGTCAGGTAGTCTTATTTACTCCCAGAAGTAAAGAGGTTAATAAAAAGATGAAGAGGTGCCAATCCACGTTTGGTGAGCATCTACCGCCATGATGACAACGCCAGTGGGCTCTCTCTCTAGCTCTCCATATTTATCCGGTACTGTGAGCAAAGCAGAAGCAGCCCAGCTCTCCTCGTCTCTCCCACTTGTGTCCCATCAGTCCACACCCACTCCCAGTCCCCATCACTGCAACACAGAGAAAACAGCAGCACCCATACGACAGAAAACTCCACAGCGAACGTTACAAGTCTCCTCAAACTGAAGGGGGTAAAGACTTCATTTATGAGAAGCTTCTATGAAGGAAATTCGATTCTCAGTTAGTTACTTTGTTCTACTTTAAAGTAAAAAATAATTATGATTTGATCTCTGTACTCCAGAAGACAAGAAACTGAAAGTGCCAAGAAATGGGTGCACTGTAGAAGGTCTGATATTTTCTAGGTTTTGCATGTAAGTACAAGAAAAATAGAGTACCGCCAAGTCAGGAATAACAACTTATTATATAAATTAGAAGTGAATTTCAAATGCATTAACAAGGCCTAGAGATACAAGGATGAATGAAGGCAAAAACTGTTACAATCCATGAATCCTCCCCAAATTGAGGGGTGGAGGAAGGCAGAGGAGAAAGAAGGCAGTAACGGCTTCCAAGCCCTCATCAACCCATCCTGCAGCCCTAGAGGGTCAGCATTAAACACACCAGTGCCTGGCCAGTCCTAACCAACAATTTCCCCCGTTGCCCACCTCAAGGGTCCTTATTGGATGTTATTCTTGATTTACATTTTTTCCTATCACCGAATTTCTCTCTCAGGCTTCCTGAGCAGGGAAACTCAAAAATCAATCATAAAATAAATAAACCCCCTTGACCTTAGGGAAAAGAAAAACTACAGATGACAAAGATCTTCAGTGTCAACTCACTTCTCCCCCAGCCAGGGAGACTGAAGCCAGTGCGCTGAGGGCCGGACTGTGCAAATTCCCCAGGTGCCAAGGCTGCAAAGACAGAGCCGAAGATCCTGCCCTCAAGACGAGTGGGCCATGTGGTTATTCCCCTGACTGTTGCAGGACAAAGAGCAAGCTGGCTAGCTGCTGTACTACAAATTGTATGAAACAATTGTGGAGAAGCATCTCCAAGAGAGAAAAATGCCTGCAACACAAACATGAGTAAGCTGAGAGAATCACGTGATACCCGCAGCTTTGCAACGGATCTAGTTTCTCACAGGAAAAAAAAATAGAAACGTAGCTATCATGTTTCCATCAGACATGCTATTTCAAACATAGAGTAAATAAGTAGGTGATGTACAAGGTGAAGAGGTGTCCAGGCTTGTCACTTACTGCTTCTATGATGACCGAGTATGGCGTTCTGGCCGTGAAGACAAAGCCCAGCTTCCTCGCTCCCTTCACCAACGCAGCTTCATCTGTGAATAGAGTTGAGGAGGCATTGACTCATCCCAGCTAATGGTAGAATTCTGTTGAGCATGTGTTATTTTTCAAACTAACCAAGCCCACAGCCGTTGGCGAGGCCTGGCCTCCATGCACGGTGGTAAGGACTTGGGGTTTAGGAGGCACTCGTTCACTCCCAGCACCAGGGTCCTGAGGGCAACACTTCTGTTAGGTGGGAAGATAGGAGTTAATATAAGTCATCGGGACAGGAGTGACGGCATGCCTACTATTCTCGGTGGGGGTCAAGTTCCCCCTAAGGAACCTAAATAACATTCCCATGACTTTCTGACTAAACATCTTCTCTGAGTGAGGCAGTGTTTCAGTTCTAGCACGGTGGGATTCAGAGCTCCAGGAAGTGGATTCAAGAGTTAGTACCCAGCTTAGTTCCATCAGCAGTTGGAAAATCTATGAACAAAGAAGCCAGTCCTCCCTCCCCTGAGAGTTTTGTCTAGTGCAGGGTCTTCTGCCGGGAGATGCAAGATGGCCTGGCGTCTCGCCCTGCTATCACAGTGTTACAGGGTCAGGAGGGCTCAGCACCACCTTTCTGCAGCTTTATCACTTGTCACCATAACCTGTAAACCGCATGAGGTCAGAGGAAAACAGTGGGGTCTTTGTGGGGCATGCCGCCACACCACACGCCCACAAGTAACTGCAAACACTCGAGTTTCCAGAGAAGGGGACAGCAGGGCACTCCCAGCCCGGAGCCCTCACCTGGAGAGGAGGCCTGGTAGATGATGTTATCTCCATCCTTCTCGGGGACCACGGTGTGGCACACGGCCAGGAGGGTGAGGAACTCCTGTATGCACGGAGCTGTGGGCTACAGACATAAGGGCAAGATCATCTGGTAAAACACTGCAGTTAGATTCAGCCATCCTCTGCTTAGAACCCTGTACTGGCTGCCCACCCCCTTTAGAACAAAGTCGAGATCCTAGCAGGGACTCTGTGTCCCCCGGGATCTGGCAGCTGCTCACCATCCAGTGCCAGCCCCTCCTGCCTCTTCCCTCCTGCATGCTCCACCCACCGCTCCAGTCTGTAGTCCCTCAGACAAGGCTCCACCTGTCCCGTGGCTCATCACCACCCTCCACCCGCCTGCAGCCAATTATCACTCATCCTCCAGGATGTAATTCAACAGTTGCTCCACCTGAGAAATCCACTATCACCCGGTCTTGGAACATCATTCTTGATGGGCTAACCCTGAGGTCAGGTGAGAACAAGGAGGCATGCGCCCTTCCCAGGGCTCCCCCAGCGCCTGCCCCCCTTGTTCCAACACTTCAAACACTCCTGCTGTTCACATGCTTCCCCCCACGTCCATGAGATCTAGGAGCGCTAGCAGGTCATCTGCCTTCCTCAACAGTGTAACCCCAGGCCCCACAGATAGAAGGCACTCAAATCTATGTTGGATCGAAACACTGAGATGGACTCACCAAACGGGTAAGCCTTGTTCTTTCTCTTCCATTGTCCTGGCACTTACTCTACACCATGTCTGTTCTTTAACTTAATAATTGCTTAAAATGGGGGCACCTGGGCGGCTCAGTTGGTTGGGTGTCTGCCTTCGGCTCAGGTCATGGTCCCAGGATCCTGGGATCGAGCCCCATGTCGGGCTCCCTGCTTAGTGGGAGTCTGCTTCTCCCTCTGTCTCTGTCCCTCCCCCTACCCCGCTCGTGCTCTCTCTCACTCTCTCTCTCAAATAAATAAAATATTTTAAAAAATAATAATAATTGCTTAAAACCTGTAAGGCAGTGCATCCCATGCCTCTTAAAAAAAAAAAAAAAAGAACAATCCTGGATATCTATTTAATATATTTCTCCCATCCCACACACACACACTCCTTACAGTTTTCATTAGGATTAGACTAGGACATCTTTTTTTTTTTTTTTAAAGATTTTATTTATTTATTTGACAGAGAAAGACACAGCGAGAGAGGGAACACAAACGGGGAGTGGGAGAGGGAGAAGCAGACTCCCCGCCGAGCAGGGAGCCCGATGCGGGACTCGAACCAGGGATTCCAGGATCATGACCTGAGCCGAAGGCAGCCGCCCAACTGACTGAGCCACCCAGGCGCCCCTAGACTAGGACATCTTAATACTGTTTACCCATCTAAGAATACAGAATGCCTTCCTATTTATTAAAGGCTTTTAACACTTCTAAATATATGTCCTGGCATATTTTCTTCTTGATTAATTTTTTATTCATTCAAAAAATATCTACATGTCTACCATACATGAGGCACTGCACTAGGCATTTTATCTACTGCTTTTTATATCATGAATAGAATCTTATTTCTATTATATTTCACAAGTGTCCATTCAGATGTAAGTAAAAACACTGAATTTGATAAATGAATTTCATGTCCAATTGTAATTAACCTTTTGCTGGTTCCCCAAGTTTCAGTGGACTCTCCTGGGTTTTAAGGCAGCCAATTATTGTATCATCCACAGATGATGACGTTTTCCTTTTCTTTTCTAACATATACACTTGAGTTCTTACTTGCCCACTTGGGCTAGCGCTTTCAGGAGGATGTTCAAAGCCAGGGGTGACATCAGGCCTCCTTGTCCTTGGGTTATTTTAATGCCAAGGTCTTTAATTTTTCACTGTTTGATAGGCAGCTGGCTATGCATTCAAGAGAGATTTGTATTTGCACATTCAGGAAACAACTCTGTGTTTTCTAATTTTTGCAGGGTTTTTGTCTTGGCTTTTTAGTCACAAATGGACAGTGACTAATATTTTAAAACATTTGTAGTTTCTCCTCTGACCTGTTAATATGATTTAAGAGCAGATGTATGGAAGAAAATAACTGTTCACATGGCTACTTCTTATCAGTCTTCAGGAAAAGGACATGCACAATTATAGTTCAGTGAAATCAAATAAGTTAGGGGATTTACAGGTTCCCCAAGGTCTATACTACAAAAATGCTAAGAAATTTTACCCAAAAGCACTGTGACGATTGGGCTTCGATTCCAGATTGTCTTCCCCACCTGCAAACCTCTCCTCATATCTCACTGGCCAAAACTGTGTCAGGCTCCACACCCCTGACCTAAGCACTGTTACTGGAACCAAGTCCCCAAACCACCTAACCACATCTCGTCCAACAGGGTGCTGGGAATCAACCACGGTGACGTCAGGTAATGGAATCTTTTGCTGAAGTGAAAAGTGACCATCTCTAGGAATATTAGTTATTAGCGTTTAGGGGATATACTTACAACATAATGTTAATTTCTTGAGAAGGCAGGATAAAAAAAATTATATACAGTATGATCTCATTATCTGCAGTGTGTTTTTATGTGAGTGTTCCCATGTATGGAAAGGAATAGATTAAAATGTTAACAGTAATTTGCAGCAAAGGACAAAAAGGAATTTAGGGGATTAAAAAAAATATTTCTCTTTATATGAGAGTTTTCTGCAGTGAAAATAAATTGCTTTTTTTTTTTATTCTTATGTTAATCCCCATACATTACATCATTAGTTCTAGATGAAGTGTTCCATGATTCATTGTTCGTGCA